ATGATGAATTGGAGAATATAATCTATAATGATAAAACAATGCCAATATGTCATATAACTCAAAAAGAAGGTTAGTGACTAATCAAAGTTTCTCTTCATTTTGTACTTCATAGTGTTTTAATTTAAATTTATTATATTATTTTGTGATTCTATAAATTATCTTATTGATTATGTGATGTAAGTATTTTTTTATGATTTATTTTGTTGATTTTTATTTATTATATGTGTTTGTTTTTCAACTTTTAAGGTGGCACTCATGATATTAATGAAGAAGTGCAAGGTGGTGAAGAAGGATCATTCCATATTGGTAGTGCAAGTGGGGGAATTGATTTGGAATCAATTGGTGAAGAAAATGATGATAGTTATGATAGTGAAAATGATTTTCGTGAACGTGATGCTTGGTTTAATCAAGACCCTCCTCATCTTGAGGATAAACAATGAATAATTGTAATTTATGTATTATTTGCATATTAGTTTGTTTTTGGACTTATTTTTCATATATATATATATGTAAGATTTATTAATTTTAATATTTATAGTTGTATGATACTTTTTTTGATGTATTTATTGAGTTTTTGGATTTGCTTTTATGTGTTTATCAAGTTTTTTGACCTGTGGTTGCTACAAATTGCAAGGAAAAAACAGAGAAAACTGCAACAGAATGATGCAGGAAATACTGCGCTTCTGTTTTTTGCGTTTTGGCTTTGACCCGGTCAGTCGGTCGGTTGAACCAGTCAGACCGGTCAAACTAGGAACCGGTGGGCAAACCGATTTTATGTCCGGTTCGGGTTTTAAAACCTTGTTGAGAATGAACAAGCAGATTCACTCTCCAAGTTTGCCTCTGATAGCTCTTTAAGTTCCAGATCTGTTTTTGTCGAGATCTTAGATGAACCAAGCTCCATGAAGCCTCGGGTGATGGAGATTAGCACAAACCCTGACACGCCGAACTGGACTAATTCAATCATCTCCTTTTTGCAAGATGGGATAGCACCTGAGGATAGGCAGGAGGCAATGAAGTTGAGAAAGAAAGCATCTCGATATACACTCGTTGATGGGGTCCTATATAAGAGATCTTTCTCACTTCCTCTTCTGCGGTGTTTGAATCTCTATGAAGCTGAATATGCACTTCGAGAGGTGCACGAAGGTGTCTGTGGAAGTCATGTTGGTGCTAGGACTCTGGCTCACAAAGTCTTAAGGCAAGGATATTACTGGCCAAACATGCATAAAGATGCCACTTACTTTGTTCAAAAATGCCCGAAATGTCAATTCTTTACACATCTGACTCACCAACCAGCAGAGGAGCTCACGAACTTGGTAGCACCATGGTCATTTGCTCAGTGGGGAATGGATCTTTTAGGCCCGTTCATAAAAGGGGTCGGTGGTGTAACCCATCTGGTTGTTGGTGTGGATTATTTTAC